AGTTGCGGGGTCCATACTGGAGCTGCATAGGCCGCAATAGGACGACCTATTGCTTTGTATGTGCTCAGCAGGGTTTCTTTGTCCTTACCCCAAGAGCACCTGGCGAGAGCTTTTAATACATTATTGCGTGATTTCAATCGGCTGCACAAGGATGAAGCATGTGCGGAGAAGGTCAACATACTGTCGAGAACGACACCCAGGATTTTAGGTTTGGTGGTTGTAGGAATCCTGAATTCACCGATATTAATGGGCAGAGTCATAGAAATCTCTTTAGTCCAGGAAGTAAAGAGGGTAGCAGAAGATTTGCTTGGAGATAGGTGAAGATTTCTATCAGCCAAGAAAGATGCTATATTAGGAAGGTATGCATTTAATTTATTACACAATATAGAAGGGTCCTGGCCTGTCGCAAAGATTGTGCAATCGTCAGCATACGTTATGACTCTGACTCCCTCAGGAGGGTCCGGGAGCTTAGACATGTATAGGTTGAAAAGGATCGGTGAAAGAACGCTGCCTTGGGGCACAACTTGTTTTAATTTTCTGGCTTTCGACATCTTATCTCTAAAATCAACAAAAGATGATCTGCCAATGAGGTAATTGCAGAGCCATCGTTTAATGATGTCAGGGATAGATGTTTCAGCCAGATCATTTAGCAAGGTGGAATGGGAGACTGTGTCAAATGCTTTCGCAAGATCTAGACCTAACAGTACCGTGCGTTCGCACGGGCGACTTTGATTTAGTCCATTGGCGATTTGAGAAGTGATCTCACAAAGAGCAGAGGTGGTACTATGACGTTTTCTAAATCCATGCTGATGGGGAGCTAGGTGAATATAGGGAGAAATCTGTTTTAGGACTAGCGACTCCAGAACTTTGGCTACTGGAGACAGGAGCGAGATTGGTCTATATGATTCACCTAGGCCAGCCGATTTGCCCGGCTTCAGCAATGGGATAATTCTACCAGTCTTCCATATATTAGGGATGATGTGAGAACAGATGGAGGTGTTCAAAATATGTGTCGGAACTGAAAGACCAATGGGCCCGAGGTGCTTGAGCATGAGCATTGAAATGCCATCAGGCCCAAGCGCTATCGAGGCTTTGGCGTGTCTGATCACGTTATTTACATCATCCGGGGAAAACAGCGTGGTGTCGCCGGAATGTGGTTTCCGAAAAGCGCGAGTCTGTCTGCGAATAGCATGGGAAGCAGAGGCATTGGGCACGAAAAGCTGACAAAATTGTTGTGCGCAATGCTTGGGATCTGGGAAGGTGATACCATTAAAAGTTATCGCTTTATTATTAGGACGTGAAGGATTAGATAATGCTTTAATGGTAGTCCACAATTTACCATTTTGAGAGTCGCAGTTATCTAAATGTTCCTTTCATTTATTAAGGCGATGTTCGTCTACCAATTTACGGATGTTACTGTTCAGGGTAGCTATGCGTGGATTAGCTGGGTCTAATCTACGAAGATTATCGCGTTCTTCGGCAAGGGGCACAGCGTCACTAGGAAAATTTGGCCTTATTATTTTGATCCTACCTGCAGGAACGGATGTGGCAGCGGATTTGATAATAATGCTGCGGAATTGTATCTCTGCCTTGTTTAAATCAGAGGACAGAGAAATATTACCGAAGTCGCGTTCTGAGATGTCTTTGAATAGGGCCCAGTTCGCTTTTTTGAAATTGCTGAAGGTTTTCTTGTCAGCTTCGCAATAAACCTCGAACGATGGTATTGAGATAATAATGGGAGTGTGGTCTGAGCTTAGAGCTATTTCCGCACTCCAATTCGAGGCAGCGAGCAGCCTAGGGCTGGCGAGGCTGACATCAGGAGAGCTAGAGCAAGTTGGCGTTACCCTTGTTGGTGAATCTTCGTTTAGTACACCAAAAGAAGAATCATCAATTTGGGCAGCCAATTGTAAACCCCTCTCGGTTGGTAGGTTAGAAAACCACAGATCATGATGCGCATTCAAATCACCCAATACAAAACGTGAGTCCCCTTCGAGAAAATGAGAAATATTAGGGGAGTGCTGCGGTGGGCAGCCAGAGTTGGGTGGCAGGTAAATGTTGACGAGTTCTATGAATTTAGAAGACCTACCAATGAAAATTTTCAACCCTATTACCTCTAAATATTCGTCATTCGACGAGGATAACATTAGCTCAATGTGTGATAATGAATCTCTCAACATAAAGGCAACTCCACCTCCGGCTCCCCTAGGGCGGTCCTTACGTATAAGGGTGAAACCTGATGGGGGCGAGAGGGTGGAGTTGGGCAGAAGTTTTGTCTCTTGCAGTGCAGCAACTGCGATGTTATTTGAAGTCATGAATGCTGCGATTTCAGAAATCTTTCCTCTAAGGCCATTGCAGTTAAACTGTAGAATTTTAAGAGGAGAAGATCTGTTAATAGTTGAGACAACACTTGTGCGTTGAGAGAGTGAGCGGTTTTGAGGTGGAATTATAGGTGGAGGTTGGCAACAAGTGCCAACGAAATTTGAATTCCAACCATGATGAGAGCGTAATCCAGAGCAAGGTCTAAGGTGGCACCATCCATTATAGGAATTGCAACGTACAGATATGGTGTTCCTAGAGATTGCTCGATTAAAAACTGTGCATAGCCAATTGGTAGACAAAGGGAATGCCATGGGGGGAGATTGTATGGCATTGATTGAAAACGGACTGACAGCGTTTGAAGAAGATGTAGATGTTCTAACTGGAGGAGAAGTTGGACAACAAGCTCCTCTAAAGGCAGAGTTCCAATCGGTATGGCTATGCAGACCTGAACAGTTTCGAAGGTGGCACCAGTTATTGCAACTGTTGTACCTAACAGATGTTTGGTTTCTGCTGATAATATTGTTGCAGACAGAGCAGTGCCATTTTGAAATTGCTGGTATAACAGGACCAGGATTAGATTCAATACCGACCATTAGAAGTAACATAAGAAGCAAGATGGCCGGAACTTGCTTCCTAGTAGGAAAAACACATATATACGACATATGTCAAACAAACACATACCTGCTTGTGTAGTCCCTTTGGGGGTGGTCGAACGGCATTTGGTCGTCTTTGACGAGTGCCTCCGGGACGTAGACCCGGCCGTTCTTGGAACCCCTACATGGAAGTATTTGAATCAGGGCCACTTAGCAATTACGTCAGCGCTCATCGACATACTAACATATATTGATGAATTACAAAACTCTTAACAAGAGCACAGACAAGACTGAAGTTTTGTACTGTGCAGCAGCTGCGAATCGGTGCATTTTTACTCGGACAGCTCCGAACTTGAAACACATGTGGCGGTGATTTGTTTTCGGCTATACAAAATAGGTCAATCAGCCCATGAGATTAATCAAGAGTAATTAACACTTATAATTTTCAGTTTCCTTGTACAAAAGTCTTACCGTACACATATACAATTAATGTACATACAGAAAATATCTGACACCTAGAATAAACTAGTCACATATCAAAACAACTACGGCCGAAACTTTGTTACAAGAGAACTATCACCTACCTAAGTTTAACAAGGAATAATCTTAATCTACTTACGTTCGTAATGACAGGTCATGATTAATAGGCTTTTATGGTTATAAATTTAACGCCGCCAGCAGAGACCCCTGCAGAAGTTGTCAGGATGAGGGCATATTAACAGTTAACTTGTTAAAAAATTTCTACTTTGAAGAATTTGGAGAGCTAGTCATAGTCGATATAACAAATCTGTCTAGACTTATCATGAAAACCTGATAAGCTAAATTAAAAGGCTTAGCATTCAAGAGTGTCACAACTTGTTCTAGCAATTGCATTCTCAGTTTGTACATGCGATCTTTCTGTCACAGTTTATCGAAAGACATATTGAGAGATGTCTAAAAGCAGTGCGAAGAACACTTCTTTCTTTTTCAATTCATTTGCATTTATTTTTGAAACTCGAATAACCTGCTCAATTGTCGAGTACTTAAATTGAATCCATATTCATGATTTGGTATCTAAGTTTTTGTTTAGATTATTTTTGCAGTGCTTTATAAATATTTTTGCATGCGTCTGTATGTGGTAACATATATGGATTTGCCAGGTTTAGCTACTATTATTACTTCTGCCTTCATCCAGAAACTGAGTACTTATTTCAATTTGAAAAATGTGTTAATAAGCCACCCAATAATCAACCAACATTTGCCGCTTCAAGTTTTTTGTTGCCTTTCATGAAGAGTAGTTTAAATTTTTATTGTGCGATAAGTTTGTTATGCAACGTTTTGGAAGAGTAAATTTTTAGAATTAAATTTTTCAAGTTTTACTGAGTGGAGATTCATCCATTTGCCATTTCGTCTAAGTTTGTCAAGTTCATCTAAGTTTGTCAAGTTCGGCTAAGTTTATCGATCACCAACAGTCTGATTTCATTATGATATTCGTTTATGATAATATCGTGCTCCATTGAAATTTAATTAATTATTGATTTAGGTTTTCAATCAGTTTGTTGGTTGATCAGGAAATATTTTTGTTCTTTATCAAGTAAATTGGGATCAGCATCTAACTCAATGCCCTCTTTGATTTTTATACAAATTTTAGAATTTAAGTTTTTGTCAGAATCAAGTAATTTCCATTCTGTCTGTCTTCTTGTTCATTTACCTTCTCTAAATTCTGAAGTAGAAGAAATTTAACGAATTGAGTGTAGGATTAGGACTTAAATTAAGTTTCCAATCATGAATCGGATCAATTTAATTTATAGTAAGAAATCTTACTAGTGTGTATCTTACAAATTTTTTATTCAGTTCATATATTCGTTTTAATAATAAATTAAAAACTTTTTAACTACATAACTCAACAAAACATTATTCATTTTTAATAAGGATATAAAAGAAGTAACGAAAAATGTAATAATATTTTACTTCACACATTAATTTCTTCCCTAAAAGTAACGTCTGGGTTAAAAAAAAGCACAAATAACTCATTTTTTTTAAAAGATTATTATATTACTTGTAATTACTAGCAACAGTTTAAGTTAAACTTTCAACCTTAAATTAATGTTACATTTACTTGCGAATAATTCAGAAATATATTTAAAATATTCGTATTTACATATTCTTCAGTATATTTGATATAAATTTATTCATAACTTAAATCCTGAATGAATACTTACAATTCCAAACGTTAAATTTTCATATGATACTAAATCAAAACCAGCTCTTTGAATCATAGCTTGAAAATCTTCTTGTTTTGGAAATTTACGAATACTCTCTATCAAATACTGATACGGCTGCCATTGCCCTGCAAGTATCTGCCCCATAGGTGGTATAACTTGGAAGGAATACTGATCGTAAATCCATTGCATTACATCGTTATTCAACTGACTAAACTCTAAGCACAAAAAACGGCCCCCAGGTTGCAGAACACGATAAGCTTCTTGTAATACCTAAATTTAAAACACTTTTTTTAGAATTAAACACATTTATATACTTTTTACCTTATCTATATGTGTACAGTTTCGTATACCAAATGCTATTGTATACGCATCGAAACTACTATCTGGAAACATTAATTTTTCAGCGTCAGCACGTTGCCATTCAATAGATACGTTTGATAGGTTTTCTTGAGATATTTCCAATTGCTTTACACGTTCTTTACCTACATCCAGCATATGTTGATTTATATCGGACACAGTTACATGACTTTGACGTTTTTGTGGATTTGATTGATTTGCTAAACATTTTAAGTAGCGGAATGAAATATCTCCTGTACCCCCAGCCATATCCAACAATTTTGTTCCGTGTGTAGGGCCTAACCGTTCAATTAATATGTCTTTCCATATTCGATGTATGCCCCATGACATTACATCATTCATAAGGTCATAGGATTTTGCTACTTCTTCAAAAACTCTATGAACTATAAATTGTTACTTAATAAATTCAAATTTTAAGTAAATTCTGTAATTACCTTTTTGTTCCTTCTCACTTGTTTTAACGGTTTGAAAACCGAAATGCGTTGTGTCACTGTTAGTACTTGGATTATCTTTTGTATTACTGTCGCCTTGTGCAATATAACTTCTTTGAAAACCAATGCTTAAATCTATGTATTGTTTAAATTTATTAATTCTGCTTCCAAGGATTTTTAATCGAAAGTTCTGTGTAAGAGCCATATTTCCACGAACCAAACCGATAAATTACAATACTATAGAAATCTTTTATTTAAGTATCAGCTGCTTGACTGTGGTTAGGGTTGGTAAACATAAATAAAACTTTTTAGCAAAGAATACATTTCAAAGAACGAAAACTCTTCCCGCTTTAAGCGTAACGTTTTGAATACATGTGATTGATGATGCCACGATACATCAAATTCAAACAATACCTTACAAGAACGGCAACTCCATTGTGAACTAAAGTTTGTTTTTTCGAGCAACAACAATTTGCCGTGAAGCTCTTTAAGGTGTTACTGAAAAATGCACAAACAGCAGCTGCAATCATTGAAATTTTTCACCTTTTCAACTTTCTGCGATACGTCACGTATTTTTGAGAACGGAATATTTTGAAAAGTTTACAACGGCGTTTACATTGACCGAAAAAGGCTTGATTTGAATGAGACATTTGAAAGTGTTTACATTCGTTGTATTTCATTCGTTCTCATTTCAAACAACTGATTTTTCAACTTGCCTCTTGATTTGATTTTTGGCCTGTGCCAAAAAAATGTTGCATGAATATTAAATATGCCTTCAAACCTTACAATATAAACTGAAAACATATTTCTAACTTCGATTAATTACTTTTTGGGAAGTAAAAGTTCTAAAAAGATGTGCATCGTTTTCAAAAAAACGCAACCACCAAACATTTGTTTACCTTTTTTGTAAATATGTCAAAAACAGCTTTCTCAAACTGTTAAAATGCCATGAAGAGCTTTTACGTAACGCTTCCTGTTTATACACTTCTGAGTGCACTGAAACTAACTTACTATATATTTATATAGTATATATGCAGCTATAATCAAGCTGCACACAGCATCCTTTGTTTGATAAACAACGTTGCTCTCAGAGAAGTCAACTTAGATGACAAACACCACCACACTTATCTTAAGAATGCAAATCCCAGCATAATTGGCTTGGCTTAGTTAGATTTTGCTTGGCACTTTCAAATTAATTCCAGAAAAACCTTGTTGTGGTTTTAATTATAGCTCGGTGTATAACAACCGTACACATTTGTAAACTATCTGAAATTAGAAATCCTCTTTATTTAGGCAATATTTATTTATATTAAAATATGTCATTTCTTTTAAGGTGCCACATAATCGTGATCATATCATGAACCCTAATAAAATGATATCTTTACAATGTCATTTAAAATCTGAATAAAATATTCATATATTCTATACATAAACAATTTTATAATATTCATCAAACAGATGAACTAAAAATTTACAGAAAATATCTTGTGTAAATCTTGCATTAATTCTGGGAAATAATTGAGCCTATTTCATTTCATAACACTTCTTTTAATTAAACTTATCTAATATTCTTAAATACTTTAATATTTGTTAATTTATTTATAAATATATTTTATAATTATGATGTAAAATTACATAAAAATATTTCTACTAAAAATACTCATATGACGTCTAACAACGAATGCTACTAATCATACAGGAAAGTATGTAAACTAATAATATGCATCATTCACGGTTGAAATTTTCAATCCTGCTTTGTGCACATACATTTGTATTGTGTACGTTTTGTTGTTGCATTTGCATTTTGCTTACTTTATTTTCGTTGTCAAAACTAATTGCTAGAAAATAGTAATAGCAATTCAAGCCCTGTTGAAAAGCTTTAATTTTACCGAATACATGTATACAGACCAAAATCTGGTATACATACTTGAATATACACAGTGCGTTTTCGTAGCACCCATACTTGGTCTGCAACATGTAGCTTTGTCTATATCATGATTAACTGTAACATCTATGTATACAGTACAAAACTTCTTTTCAAAAATAATATGGCAACTTTATTTCAATCTATTACCTTAATGAAAGTAGATAATTTTTCAATTTGTTGTGTTTTGCAAACCACAGTTCAATGTTTAGAAATTAACAAATATTATAAAATTATTAAAAGACAATGAACGAAAATGAAGATCCATTTGGCATGATATGTCGAGCGTGTATGAGTAAAGATCAAATATTTCATTCAATTTTAGAAAGTGTAGATGGTAACAAATTGCGGATTTTTGAGATGCTTGGAACGACGACACCCCAAATATTTATTCAGATTAATGCTGCAGATAAACTACCAAAGATTATTTGTAACACGTGTTTAAATAAACTAAATATAACATATAATTTTCAACAAATGGTGATAACTTCGGAGAAGCGTATGCGATCTCTGCTTTATGTCGAGCCGAATGCAGGCTTACAAAAAATGCATTCATTGGAAGACCCTCTAGTTGAAAAAGAATTATTTCACGTATCAAACAATTCACTAAAGCAGGGAATTATAAGCGAAGATAATTATTTCGAGTTCTCAAATTTCATTAAAAAGGAGGAAGTGTCAGAAGGAAGTCATGATTTAACAAATTTCGTATCTGAATGGACTCACCAAAGGTAAACTTACCTAAATTTTCAATTTTAATATTAATATGTCTATAAATTTTTTTAGTGAAGAACATGAACAAAATATATTAAAAGTTGACAAACCAAATAAACCTCAAAGCACGAAAATTTGGAGCGCACTACCTGATGAGGAGTACAGCGAAGAAATTGAAAAGTATTTTAACTTTATAATAGTAATATTAAAAAACTATTTGCTACAATATTTTTTAGACCTGATGAACGTAATAGACGTAACGCACAACATCCTTGCTTAGAATGTGGTAAGATTTTCGACCGTCCATATCGCGTTAGGCGTCATATGGCAGTTCATTCAAAGGAACGTCAATTCGAGTGTAAAATATGCAAATATCGATTTTCAAAAGAAATTCAATTAACAGCGCATATTATATCACACAGCGATAATTTGGAATCAAGAAAACGTAGATCGCCGGAAGGATATAAGTGTCAAGATTGTCCACGCCGATTTGAAAAACATGAATCACTTTCGGCCCACCGGCAATGTCATAAGAAGATCGAAGAAACTGATAAAATGTTTCAATGTGATGTATGTCAGGAAAGATTTGAAAAGTTATCACTCCTTACCAATCATATGCAAAAGCACCCAGATTGTCCTAAGTATAAGTGCCACATATGTGATAAAATTTTCTATGTGAACGCATTGCATATTGAACATCTAAATAAACATGGAATTCAAAAAAAACATGTTTGTGTTTACTGT